GGCCCGGGCTGGGGATTCGAACCCCCCACCTTAGGTGTATGTGGCTGGCGCCTTAGCCGCTTGAGCCTTAGGCGCCGAGCCAAAACGTAAAATGTTTAACATAATTTGCTTTGCTGGTGGGAACGTCAGTGGTCCTGGCAATCGATTAAGATGATTTTCCTGGCCAAAACAGTGACTCACACCTGTAATCCTAGTACTCTGGGAAGCGGAGGCAGGTAAATTTCCTCAACTCAGAAGTTAGAGACCAAATGAGCAAAAGTAAGACCCTGTCTCTAGTAAAAATAGGAAAAAAACCCAAAACTAGCTGGGAATTGTGGGTGGTGCCCACAGCCAGGGCACAGAGTGAGACTCTGTCTCAGGAAAAAAAAATTTCCTGAAAGTTTAACAGTTTGTTGTGATGCCCTTTAGATTTTAGGTGTAAAGGCTGGGTGCGGTGGCTCATGCCTGTAATCTCCAAACTCTGGGAGGCCAACGAGAGTGGATCACCTGAGTTCATGAATTTGAGAGCAGCCCAGAGAAAGACTATGTCTCTAAAAATAGTTGGGTGTTGTGGCGGATGCTGTAGTCTCAGCTACTTGGGTGGCTGAGGCAAGAGAATCACTTGAGCCTGAGAGTTTGAGGTTACTGTGAGATATGATGCCATGGCACTCTATCGTGGGCAACAAGGTGAGACTCTGTCTCAAAAAAAAAAAAAAAATAAAAATAATACAGGTGTAATCATGTTAAGAGATTACTTGCTTATGAAAGATAGTTGTATTTGGGAGTTATAATTTGGTAAATAATGTGTTTTAAATATATTCAGAATTAAAAATTAAAAAAAGTTATTTAACTTTTGATCTTTTCAAGTGTTACAGTTAAAATGACTTTCTCTTCAGAGCTATCATTAAGAAGGCTTCTGATCTGGAATACAAAATACAGAGAAGAGCCCTTTTCAAGGAAGATTTCATCAATTATGTTCAAGTAAGTGGATGATTTCATTATTTTTCATCCCCTCACAAATTTTAAATCAGTTAGGCTCCGTGCCCGTAGTAGCTCAGTAGTTGGTCCCCAGCCCCATACACCCAAGGCTGGCGGGTTTGAACCCAGCCGGGCCTGCTAAACAACAATGACA